GACAAGACAAAACACATGATGGGAGAAAGAGGACCAACGTTACTGACACGCAGTAGTGATATATTAACACACTGAGAGTAAAAGACAGAAGTGCTCAGTGCATGATGGGAAGTTAATCAGCAGTTGTGGCCAATAACAGCATAACTAAAGGATGGGACAGGGTCAGCTGATCCAGCTGCAGCTATAAGACTGATCAAAAAGGAAAGTTATGAGTTTAATGTTAAAAGACGAGAGCATTTCTGGTTAAACAGGACAGGGACAGGAAAGCTGAAGGCTCAGCCTCCCATTAGACTCATTAGACCTCACCAGAGTGAACAACTTTCTCTGCAGCAACACAACTAATAACTTTTATTCACACCCTGTCCTGATACTTCTATTTCATCTGCTATAAACAATAACCATACACTATTATTGCAATCTATACTACAGCTCAAAAGTCTGTAGAGAATTAGAAATGTCTTATTTAGTGACAACAGTGAAAATCCTTTTGATGTTTTACTAAATTAATCAGAAGCGCAAAGAAATCTAAATAATTAAGGGTAACATTTATCATAAATCACAAATGAGATTTAGTGGAATATCTACTAAGTGTTGCTGAGACAACGTCGGTCTCTCCGATTCTTTTTGTCTTGGTAGAGATCACGCAGAGATGTTTCCAAATTTCACACAATCCTTTTATTACCCATTTTCCTTACAGATGCATCTGGAGGTCAGCACACTGCATCCTGTGCAGTCCTACTCTAAAGGCTGATCTGAAGAGTTTTACACAACAGTTACAGTTATAGTCTCTGGTCTCCAGTTTTTACAGTGAATCCCCCACAATGGAAAAACACTGGTAAAGTGGCCCGGGGTGCTGACACCCTGACCCCCATCTCCTTTTAAGGTAATGTACACTGGCAATTGTCTGCCCCTCACCCTCAGTAAATCTTGCTACTGTCCTGTGTTTGGGAGTTAATTGCCCCACTTCCCTGCACCCCAGTTCTTTGTTCCCATCCCAGGACTATTTTCTATTTTGTAATCTTAAATCCTATCAACAACAAAATCATACTATGACACACACTAATAAAGTACTTTCACTATGACCTCAATACCTAATACACAGTCCATTATTTCTACAGTGTACTGTTATGAAAACAACAGAATGATGATGAGACACTGTGGTAAAGTTTTACAGGTATATTTGCAGATAGTTATCAATACAGGATAAACACTATGGGCTCCAGGAGACGGGGCAGAGGTAGTGAAGGTTGTCTGGAGGCACACTCAGACACTGTCACAGAAGGTTGCAGAGATCCGTAACGCTGAAACGTCTGCACAGAAACAGAG